TGTCACTAATCGTCCTCCCTCCGCCCCTCTCTTGCCGTATATCCCCCATAACGGCATGCGCGCGCGACGTGAGAGAGAGAGAGAGAGAGAGAGAGAGAGAGAGAGAGCAAGACAGAGAGGCATTGCGGTAAAAGATTTTGACAGCCGTTGAAAAGCTTGTCAAATTAACCGACACAGCAGCAGTAGAGTAGTAGTAGAAGAAGAGGAGATTAGTCTCTCACTCAAACTCACATCTTGACGGAGCTCCGAGGCTCTAACCTTCCAGGCACCTCACGCTCCTACCTGCGCTGGTTCTGGACGTCACAGGGGAGATCGAGGGGGAGGGGGTCCAGGGAGAGGAGGGAGTGCCCGAGAAGGAGCCTGGGGGCAGTGGATGGTGGAGGGGTTGGGGGGTGGGGGGTGGAGGGTAGCACGACAGGAGATTTCGGAGCATAGATCCAGCTACCATACCCATGATCATCAGGTTTCCAACCAGAAGCGTCCTCAGGGTCCTCACCTGAAGCCTCAAGTTGTTGCCATCACTGCAGGTACCGATGATCTCCCTCATGCTCACTTGCTTTCCAACTTGCAAATCACCATGGCGCATTTGGATCCGTCTAGTGATGTAGAGGCGACGTGAGGGAGAAGCCTTCAATTTGTCTCACACGTCTTCATTTTCTACGGATCTTGCGCTTCTACTCCTCGTGCAAACCTCGGTTCCCGACTTGTTACTGGGGCCGCTGCTGGTGTTGGACATAGAAATGGGGTTTGCTTGTTTCACAGATTGCTACTCTCAACGATAGAGTGCATTCAGATGTTGAAGTAAACTTTTATAAAAAGTACGGAGGAGTCTGGGTAATTCATGAGCAGACGAGAGAAGGAAAGGAAACAGATTTTCACGGATGGAAAATATGAGTTTGTGAAGATGTGCATTCGTCTGCAGAGGAAAGAAAAATAGAACACTTTTATTTCATGTTCACATCGCATATCAGCTGCGAGACACCCATCAAGGCTGTTTATCCAGAGCAGGGAGTGGTGGAGTCAGTGCAGAGGACGATGTCACCGTTGTCATAGACGCTGTCGGTCACACCGAACTTGCCAAAGATGTCGTGCTTGGTAGCATAGTCAGAGGCTCCTCCGCCGAAGTTGTCGCCGTAGTTCCACACGGCTCCCTGGTTGCCAGAGGCAGAGGTGTCATCGGTGATGGTGGTAAGGGGCCACTCGGAGGAGAAGAGCTGCTGGACACGTCTGGCGTCGGAGAACTGCAGCATGAAGTCAGCATGTGATGAGGATCATCCGATGGGAGATAAGATACAGGAACAATCAATCGCAAGAATTGCAAACTCACACTCGCACAACATGGATCCACAAGGACCTCAGATTTTGTCGTTACAGGAATTGAGTGTACAAGACCAAATGCATGCAGAGCACATGAGAGAAAGTAGCGAGTGAAGAAGTAGAGAAGATGCTCATGGTAGTTGGTACTTCAGCGATTGTAAGGAGAAGAGAAGGAGGGAACTAGAGAATTGGCGAAGGAACATGCACACAACCAACTACAAAGCTTACCATCGTGCGATAGACTCTCCTCTGCTCTCTCCCGGTTTTATTGCACCGCCCCTACCCTACCCACCCTACCCCTCCCACACCCTACCCCCTCACACCAAATTCCACTATACAAAAACCTTAAATGACCCTACCCTACTACATGGCGCAAATCGTACCCAAGAAACCAATCACCCTCTGATGTTCGGTAAAAATGACGGGTACTATGCGTGGACGGGGTGCTTTGGAAGGTGCGAATGGGTGTTCGTCGGAACTGTGAAAACTGAGATATGCAGGCCCGGTTGCCATAAGGGGGATGACATATGAGGGGGTGGTAGCCTTTGTCAACTTGTAACTCTAGCCTGGGGGGTGGTGCGCGGCGCTCCAGGAATAGACTCACCGCCGGCAGCAACAATCTCTTAAAACAATGTAAGTTTGTACCAAAATAAATAAACTACTTATTTTATGGTACAAAGTTCCAAGATTGTGGTACAAATGCTGTTGGTTCCAATTGACGGGGGCTTCCGACAAATGTACCATGGGATCTTTACAACTAGTGCCTAAAACTGATATAAAGTGAATAGCAGTATATTGGCCCGCATTAATGGTACTACGGTACTAATGGGAGGCTATAACGCTCATTGTTGGACTTGTCCTTTACGTCTGGGGGTGACGGGCCTACTTTGCCTGGCGAAGGGTCAGCACACTTTTATATTTGCTCACTACATGCAAATGTATTTTTATTTATAGCCGCAAGTACTTAACTGTTAGTACCACGTGTGGGCAACATTAGTATTACCAGACTGAACAGTACTGTTTGCAGTACCAGATTCGCCTAGCCTGGGAAGTTTTGGGTTCTGGACGCTCGGCTAATAATTCGTTGGCGGGAGTATAGTACGGGTGATCAGATATGGTCAGTACTGGCTGATTATTATTTTTACTTGCCGCAGTACTGAGCAACTATATCCCGTATCCGGCGAGCCAGTTTTTTAAACTTGCCGCAGGTCAGAGTCAAAGCAAGTAGCAACGGTAGGAACCGTTCGCCGGAACTGTGACTTCCGAAGTTCGCCGCCGCTCAGTGGGCCCCGCCGGCGGCGGCGGGCGGTGCCTCACTGAGTCAGTCACCGGGCCCGGTGACGCCCGGCCGGTACTCGGGCGCCGAAAAAAAAAAGTCTGGGTCGGACTCACGACAGAGTTTGTCAGGACGGTTAAGCCTCATCCGAGGCTCAGCGGCTCGACTCCGGCCGATCCGAGCGGAGGCTCGTACCGTAGTACTGATCATCGATACTAGGCTATCATATAGCTCAGTAACTTTCAAAGAGTAAACTCCGGAACGACTACGCCGGATCAGCCTGGCACCGTGCCGCAGTGCCAGGGCCCCGCCGCCGCTGCGCCCGCCGCACCGCCGGGGACGCCGCGGCCCGGCCGCCCGGCGCCGCGGCCGCCCGGCCCGGGCCCCCGGCGGGACTCAGTGGCAGTACGGTGGGCCACTCACCGGCACGCGACGGTGCCCGGCCACTGAGTCGGTCACCGTGAAGTTCCCACGAAGGGGCTTCAAGGCCCGGGAGGCTCCCGGCGGCGGCGGCAGTAAGTTCATGATTTCACAGGCTCAGGATGGCATCCGATGATCGGAGAGTCGGCAACATCATGAGTCAGGCCCAGTAGTAGTATCATCATCATGGCATTCGTCGGTCATTGAATGACCGGCTCGGACCTCCGGAGCCGACGATCCGATCATCAACGTGTGGTGAGGAGGCCATCAGTACACTGTGGCGATGCCGAAGGGAAGCCTAGACTTTGCCTGGCCGCCAGAGTCGGACGTGCTGAGCCTGGCCGCATACGGACTCTGAATAACGATGAGCATGTGGATCTTCCTCTGCCGCCGCTTTCATCAAAGTTTGCCGCTTGAGCAAGGTCCGGTACCTGGCATGATTATCAAATACCGTGGTACTCAAGTGTGACATGCTCAAGGATCTACCCGTGCTATCGTATCGCCGCCTCGCAAGTGTCGAAGTTCACAGTTCCCAATAGGATGATCATCGGGCCCGTGCTGAGGAACATTCTGCCTGGTCCCAGGAATACTTCAGTACTTGCACACGGCCCCACCACCCTGACTTTTTGATGAGCGTGCTGAGTGCATCACTGCACTTCTCATCAGTACGCATGTGTCCTAAAGAGCTGTGTTCCCTCCAGGTTGCCATGTGTATGGTCGTGTCAACCGGGTTGCCTGTGATATTCGAAGGTGGGTAGTGATGTGCCCCCTCAGACTTGAAAGCTTGGCTCGGGATGAACAACGCAATTTGTGGCATGGTCAGTCCAACGGTCAAATCCGAACACACGGACAGTAGTGAGTCAGTCGCCACTGCTGCTGCGCCTGAACCAGGGAGACGACTTGTGCTGAGCGGCGGAGGCTTGGAGTGTTACGGCACTGATGACCTCCAGTCTGAGGCTCCTCGGCCTGTAGGTTGAGTTGCCACGGAATCATGTACAAGTTTGCAACCGTTCCGAGGCTGCGTGACTCGTCATCAGGCTGGTTCAGGCTTCGAGTCTCCAGCAGCTCAGCATTCGATAGTGAGCGATTGAAAAGCACCTGAAGAAAAGGAAAAAGCAGTGTGAGGCAGAAGAAGTTCATCATAAGGACGAGACCCATGAGAGGCAGTGGATTCGAGGATCAGTTGGATATGTGAAAGTGTTAGTTCTGGTAACGCTATCCGAGCTCTGCGAAGGTGAGCTCAAGCCTCCTCAGGGCACTCTTACATCTACATAGACAACAAGGGCTCTGTCATGTCGGCGACTCGCTCTCTGGAGTAAACCACCCCTGCTTGGCAACATGACAGACAGCGAGTGTCAGATACGAGTAGTGGTTCTCCTGCACTGTGGTACGTCAGGCAGGTTCTCAAAAGGAGCACCAGATCGCTCATGCGTTAGGTGCCACAGAACTGCTGGTGGTTCCCCTAAACTGTAAAAGGATCGTAAACAACTTCTTGAGGTGGTCTGTCCTCTTGCTGCCTATGCCATGAACCCATCTACTATGTGTGTACATCTGGGATCAACTTCATCTCACTTCCATTCACCTTGGATGAGTGGGATCCAGGAGATGTGACAAGATGTGCTTTGAGCATTTGCTGTGGCAGTCTGAAGGTGCCATATCACTGTAATGACTTGAGAGCAAAGTTTAAATTGAAGTGCAAAAAAAGGCTCAAGAATGCAAAATTTTAAATAAATAGAACACTTTTATTTCATGTTCACATCGCATATCAGCTGCGAGACACCCATCAGGGCTGTTTATCCAGAGCAGGAGGTGGCAGAGTCAGTGCAGAGGACGATGTCACCGTTGGCGTAGACGCTGTCGGTCACACCAAAGCTGCCAAAGATGTCGTGCTTGGTAGCATAGTCAGAGGCTCCTCCGCCGAAGTTGTCGCCGTAGTTCCAGGAGGCACCATCGTTGCCCTCAGCGCTGCTGTCATCGGTGATGGTGGTAAGGGGCCACTCGGAGGTGAAGGTGGAGGTGAGCTTCTGGATACGTCTGGCGTCGGAGAACTGCACCATGTGATCAGTTCATATGTTACAGGATCAGAGGTGAATTCAATCACTGTGACGAATTGAGTCATCAGCATCATGTAACATCAATCACATCACAACCATCAGCAGGACATCGGATATCGCTCACCATCTTGCGATGAAGGCCGAAGCAATCCCTCCTGTATTTATTTCCTCCGTCCCTACCCCCTCACCCCACCCTACCCTACTCAACCATACCAAGGAACCCTTTGTTTCTCGGCGACTGGAACCCGAAAATGTACCCGGCCGTCTCTGTGACTGAGGGGCCCGGACTGCTGGGGTGGTGGAGCGATTGGATCCCCTTGTTCGTAGGGGTAAGGGGTGGTAGGGTAGGCTAGTAGGCCAATGGACTTCCGGTGTAGACAGACTCTGATAGGGGTACTTTGCTCAGGGGGTCACCGTAGGGCAAAAGGGGGGTTGGGGGTCAGGTGGAGGCCCATAGACACACCGAGGTTGACCGGTAGTGACAGATCCTTTAAATTGTTTTATCCTTCATCGGTCTATTTTATTCGGAATTAGTACTAGTCCCACTGTGTTGAATCTGTACCTTTGTACTGCGTGCCCTGCCTTGCGGTACAGATCCGGATACACTCTCAAAATCTTTTTAGCGACCAGAATAGATTTCTTTTTTGCTGCCGTTGCTAATTCGGGCAGCGAACTTCGGACGGAAAGACCCCCACCCCCCATTCAAACGGGAAAACACCGAGTCAGGGGTACGGTACTGTGAGAGGCTCTGCTGAGGCGGAGGGGCTTGCCCGGCCCCAATCTTTACCCCGTGACTGATACTCGAGTCGGAATCGCCGTGACTCTT